CTGCCTCCCATCGACACGGCTCGGTGGTACTATCCCTCAGCGCTCCCCGCCATCCGCCTCGCTGACTCGGACCAGCCGGCCTTGGAGCCTTGGAGTACACGGTGCGCGTCGCCTCCCGACCCTGGCCGGGAGCCGATGTGCCACCCTGGGCTTAAGTCGGGCTTGTCTCTCTACGGTAGGAACATTCAAAAATAGTACAGCACAAGTCTCTGGGGACGTTTTTTTTATGTTTGCCAATGTCGAATATGTTTTGACTATTTGTTCATTTGTCGTTGCTTGCTGTTTCCTTCTTGCCTCCCCTGCCCCTCCCCCTGCATGCATGTGCACTGTCTCGTGAATCGGTCATGGCCTTTTCCCGGTCCTCTCAGAGGGCCAGCGCGCCTCGCAGCGCGCCCGTCGCCCAGCCATGGGCCGCCTCCGGGCGATGGCGGCTCGCAGCCTTCGCAACCTTCATCTGTCGTCCAAGCTCCCCGACGGTAGGAGGGCGCGCCCGACCTAACCCTGGGCCCCAGGAGGGCCTCCTCCATCATTCGCACCCTTCATTTGTCGTCCAAACCGGAGGACCCAGGAGGACCTAGCCGCAACCTTCATTTGTCGTCCAGACTCCCCAGGAGGGCCTCCTGGCAGCGGGCGCCGAGCCCGTCCCTCAGCAGGCACGCGCTCGCAAGCGTGCTGCGGGGGGACCGCAGCCTCAGCCGGGTGTGGGCGCGCTGCGCGGAGGAGAGCGGCCTGGCCGCCCCCGGGGGCGCGGCCGCCCGGGCGGTCGTGAAGCTGGGCGACGGGGAGCCGTGGCGGTTCCAGGCGGCCAAGCAGTGGCGGAGCGTCCCGGCTCCCAGACCCCCTCGAGTTATGAAAAAATCACGACGGGAGGTTTTGCGTCGTTTTTGGCTTCTGGGGGCCCTTACCGGCCCTCGCGACCGTCAAAAAACGACTCAGGACGAAAAACCGGTCCCGGGGAATGGGTCCAGACCGCGGGGGTCGACGTCATGAAAAATTCATGACGTCGGGGGTCTGGGCTCGCCTACCTATAGCCCTACCGATCAAGGGCAGAAAAAACGCCCCTACCCTGGTTTGCGAGGCGCTGTGCGCTGAAGCTCCTGTGGGCCGACAGGGTAAAACCCTGCGTGACGTGCCGCGTCCTGGCGGCTCCAGGCTTTGGGGGCTCCCAGGAGGTTTACAGACCGCGCACTCATAACCCAGGGTAGGATTTTGTTTGTTTTTTTTTGTTTTTTGTTTTTTGTTTTTTCTTCATCCCTCGAACCAAAGAATGTTCCAAGAGCGTTTTGTGGTTTCCACGAGATGCTCTTAGACCAATGGCGGAGCATGTCTTGCTTTCACACGTCGGGTTGATGTTCTAAGACCATTGTTTTTGTTAGAACATGTTTGGGTTCTAGGAGCATGTCGTACTAGGACCATAGGAATGCCGGGACGGTCGGTCCCTGCTCAGAGGCGGGAGCGCCGTACCTGCTGTCCGACCTGGCGCCCCTCATCTCGAGGAGCAAACTCGCCGCCCACCGGACCTTCCCAGCCCCACCCGAAGGCCCCAATCTGCCCTCCATTTCCAGGTGGGGGGGGGGTCGAGGAGCATTGGAAAAGACACACACGCACACATACGAAGCCCATAATTTCCCCCCCCCCAACCCGAAATTCGGGTCTTCGGGTTGGGTTGGGGTGGTCTGGTAGGTCGTCAAAAACGACGCTCCGAGGTCCGCGCGGACTTTGTGGATCGGAGAAGGGCGCCCCCCTGGCGGCGCCTCCGGCGCCGATCGAGGAAATCCGCGCGAACTTCCAGGTGATTGTTTTTTATTCATTGCTTTGCCTTTCGGCGCGGGCCTTGGCACCCCCCCTCCCTTCCCCCCCCTATGGAGTAGATCTTGGTTGTTCTTGGCGCCTGCTTCGAGCAGGTGGAATCGCCCCCATAATGCACGCCCTGTTGCAACCAGTCGCATCAAGCAGAGGTCCGGAGCAATACAGTGAGCGGCTTGAATAAGGAACGCTTGCTTTTCACAAAGGGCTCGGTCGTTCCTTAGGCTTGCATGCGTTATATATCGCTCCCTATGCGTTATTTATTATTCGTTCATCGTTTCCTATGCGTTATTCCTTGGAAGAAAGGGGCTTCGTTCCTTATTTATCGTTCCTTAGGTCAGGCCGATGACTGTAACCCCCCCCTCCCACTCTCCCCTTGCGCCCAATGTCGAAGCGCCAAATAAGAAAACGTAGGGGGGTGATAATTTGGGGGTCGACCACGCGCAGGGGGGACGAGGAGTGGGTGGAGGATGAAGAGGAGGAGGAGGAGGAGGAGGAGGAGGAGGAGGAGGAGGAGAGGAGGGGGGAGGAGGAGGGGAGGAGGAGGAGGAGGAGGAGGGAAGAGAAGGAGGGGGAGGAGGAGGAGGGGGAGGAGGAGGAGGGGAGGAGGAGGAGGATGAGGCGGAGGAGGAGGAGGAGGAGGACGGAGGAGGAACGTATGCTGGTGGCGCTCCTTTTGCTCCTCCGCGATCAGCGTCGGGGCCCTGACCGACGGCGAGGCCTGCCGGGCGTGGGGCGCGGTGTCCTGCTGCGGCGAGGGCGACCAGGGCGCCAGGTGCACCCGCCGCTCGCTGCTGTGGGTGGACGCGCTCGGCGAGGGCGGGGCATCTTCCCAGACCTCCGGCTGATTGTTTCCGCAGAACGCAGAACGTCCGGTCGAGCGCCCTAAGACGTCTCGTCCCGCTTGCGGGAACGTCATGGTTCATGCACTGCAATCAGGAAAAAACGTGCATCGATGGAAGTCAACACACACACACACACACACACACCTCACATGTATTATTACACTACAGCGTGCATGTATGGCACATATTCTGCCCGAAAATCATCCGAAAACCTGCCGTGCGCACTGTGCAATTCAAAATCCAAGCACATATATATATATATATACTTCTCGGAAGATCAGGAAGACGATTATCGGGTTGGAAGGATGGGGCTGGGAGAAATGATGAGGATATCCTTGCCCGTACAGTGGAGCCCCATGCCAGGAAGCACCCTGCTTGCCTCCAGAGTGCCCTGGGGTTCGTGAGTTTCGATGTTTTTACGACGGGAAGTGTGACCTTCGGAAACCAAGAGTCCATGGACGTCCTGGTGTCTCAGGATTGGGTTTCTTGTGGAAGGTTTCTTGTGGACTGGCCTCCACTGTAGGCGGCCGAAGGTCTCGTTCATTGCATCCGGATGCTAATTATGGCTCATACCTCATACCCTCCGTCCTCCCAACCTTTTTTTCCCAACACGATAATCGTTCTCCCTGGAGGAGGAAGAGGTACCCCTACCGCTGCCCTTCGCCCGCTTTCCTTTTTTTGGTCCATGGAGGAAATTCTCGGAGGAGGAGGAGGAGAAGGTACACATACCTCGAAGAAGAAAAAACAGCATAAACATAAACTGTCAGCGCTCCCTGCGGAGTTCTTGGATCCGCGCTGGGCCCCCTGGCGGCGCCTCCGGCGCCACCCCTGGCCCGCTCCGCGCGCCAGGGAGGGGGGTCCAGCGCCGATCGAGGAAAGAAGCGCGGAGCACAACATAATTATGTTTAATTCTATAATATTAAGAATAGTAATAATAGTAAGAATAATAATAAGAAGAAGAAGAACAGTAATACTAATGATAATAATAATGATAATAATAATAATAATAATGATAACAATAATAATAATAACAATATCAATAATAATAATAATAACAATAATAATAATAGCAATACTAATAAAAATGATAATAATAACACATATAATACGACTAATAATAATAACAATTCGCTGCTTCTTATTATTATGATAATGCCGCTACCCTTGGCCCGTTCTCCCATTTCTTCTGGGTCTCCTGGGAGGCTTTCGTCGCCACAGCGGAGTGCGCATCGAAAGTCTAGTCAGGACGCTCCTAGTGATGGACCAAAAGAGGTCCCCTAACCCTCTGAGAGGGGACCTGAGTTAGGGGGGCCAGGAACATTAGGGATAGAGGGCCTTTTCTGCAGGTGTATCGAACCAAACCGCCCAGAACGACTATCCCCAATGCGGAGACGGGGACCTCAGTGAGGCTGCGCCTTCGTCGTGCTATTAGGGTCAAGGGGTTCTTCTGCCCTCAGTGACCGAACGAGAGGTCTGGGGAGTAGAGGCATCGGTACCTCCTGGCTTCCCCAGATTCTTCTGACGCCCAGTGCGGGGCGCCGGGCCCCCGAAGACTCGCCGCGGCCCCCGAAGGTCCATGGATTCTTGCACGTGGGGGGCACTCTTCGGCCCCCGGCCCGTCGGCTTGGCTCTGGGGTCGGGGGGCCCCAGACCTCCGACGTACTGAAAAATCGAGGCGGAGGTGTTTCTCGACTTTCGGCCTCTAGGGGCCCTCGCCGGGCCCTGGGACCGTCAAAAAACGACTCAGGATGAATAGCCGGTCCTGGGGAGTGGGTCGAGACTTCCGGGGACCCCGTACTGAAAAGATCACGACATCGGATCTCTGGGTCTGTGAGATGGGGGTCAGTGCAAGCGGGGGTCAGCCAGAGCGCCGGACCTTGCAGGATCCTGCAGGGCCAGGGGCGCACGGAGCCAGAGCGCCGGACCTTGCAGGATCCTGCGGGGCCAGGGGCGCATTGCCCCGGGGTTGGGTGCAGGATCCTGCAGGATTTTGCAGGACCCTGCAAGGCTTAACTGCCCGGAGTCTGGATTCGGCGTCACCCAAACATACTTATATTATATGTGTGTCGCCCCCCCAGGGGCGACGCGCGCACCGAGAAATCTTATAGTATATGCGTCCTGGCGGGCGCTTTCTGGCCACACCGCTCGGGAACGACATACTGCAAGATGGGTATACTTTATGTTCGTGTCGGACGCGCGCCTCCAAGGATGACATATAGTATTAGTATGTCTCTCTGCGTCGAACAGTTTGGGTTCGGACGGGGCTCGATGTTCCTTAGGTTCCTCCAGTGCTGTTCCTCTTGCCCTCCTGGGGCACGGAGGCGCTCACAGGGCCAAGAAGGGGCTTCGTTCCTGCTGAGGGCGGCGGCGGTGCTATCCGCTGCCAAGCTTCGATTGGAGTTCCACCGGCCTCCAGACCCTGGATCCCTTACAGTCGGGGCGCTGAAGAAGGAACCCTCTTCGTGGAGGAGGTGCTCGGTGTTCCTTGATTGCTTCATAGTCTGCCTCAGGTTTCCCTGAGGTCCTCGCTGGGAAGTCGAAGCTTAGCTTCTGGAGAAAAGGGCCTCGCTCCCTACTTTAGGCTCCTTGGGTCAACGCCCCGACGGCATCGAATGTTTACCCGTCCAGTGCCACCACCGTGCAGTGCCGTTTTTTGATACATGCTCCGCGTGCGGACAATGTATTAGAAATACAGGGTTGATTAATAGATACAAGGCTGAGTTTATGCATTAATTCATTCATGAATTAAGCATGAATTAAACATCCTACGTTTTTTTAAAGCTGCCCCGTAGCTTTGGGGCGCATCGGTTCTGCAGCCGACCTCCTGCACGAGGAGCGGCAGTCCGTCGGAGGTCCGGGCTCGGCGGGCGCCATTAAGCACCCCAGCACCGACGCTGGCCGCGCGCCGATCCCTCGTGCGCATGTACAAATGCAAAGGTCCAAATCCTCCTCCTCCTCCTCCTCCTTCTCCTCCTCGTCCTCCTCCTCCCCCTCCTCCTCCTCCTCCTCCTCCTCCTCCTCCTCCTCCCCCTCCTCCTCCTCCTCCCCTCCTCCTCCTCTTCCTCCTCTTCCTCCTCCTCCTCATCGCCCTCCTCCCCCTCCTCCTCCTCCGCCTCCTCCTCCTTCTCCTCCTCCTCCTTCTCCTCCTCCGCCTCCTCCTCCTCCTCCTGAGGGGAGCGCGAAACGCGTAGGAAGACAGCGCTTCCCAGCGAGACTGTATGGCGCGATCTTGGTCTGTCGTGCGCGCGACAGACCAAGATCGCCCCATACAGTCTCGCTGGGAAGCGCTGTCTTCCCATCTGGAGGGAAGGAGATCTCAGCGCGCGATTTGTTTTTCTCCGCAGTGGCCGAAACCCTCCCGAAACACACCGAAAACCCTTCAGGGAGGGTTCCGGGGGGCATTTCGGATGGTTTCGGAAGGGCTCGGGTCGTCTGGGGGGAAGGCCAGTCCAGATTGAACCCTGGATGTTCTTCTGAGTATACATCGATCTTGGAGGTTATAATCTCCCAACCTACAGCCGCGATCACCAGAAGGACAATAACACATCGACACTGGAAGGTTTTCACGTGTCGGGCCCTAGGAGGCGATATTCGTTCGTCACCCCACAGCGCTGTCGGGCAGACACTGCTTCGACACTTGCCGTGGTGCTCGAGATTGCTTCTGGGATGTGGTCCGTAAGTATGTTGGGAAGAACAACGAAACCTGGGGCCTCGTCCCTGTCAGCATCGGTGCCGCCACGCGCAGAGGGGAGGAGGGGAGGGGGAGGAGCAGGAGGAGCGGGAGGAGCAGGAGGAGGAGGAGCAGGAGGAGGAGCAGGAGGAGGAGGAGCAGGAGGAGGAGGAGGAGCAGGAGGAGCAGGAGGAGGAGGAGCAGGAGGAGGAGGAGCAGGAGGAGGAGGAGGAGGAGGAGGAGGAGGAGGAGGAGGAGGAGGATGGGAACAGCCTGGCCTGGGGCCGGGATGGTCCCTGCCAGCGTCGGTGCGGGGGCGCGACTGGCGGCCGCCCGCATCGCCGTGACCGGCGGGCGCCAGCGAGGGGCCGCCGCCTGCGGGGGGGGGGCTGCGATGGGCGCCCGGCGGCTGCTGCGGCCAGCGGCGGAGGCCGCAGCGGCGCGCAGAAGAGGGGGAGGGCCTGCTGCACTTTTGAGTCGGGCGCGTGCCTCTTGCAGGAGGAGCACTCGTAGAGAGTCCAAAGGAAAAGTCCCGGGACGAGGTTGTTCACCACCCACCAAACCACCCCAACCCACCCAACCCGAGGAGCATTCGTAGACAGTCCAAAGGAATAGTCTCGGGGCGAGGTTTTTCACCACCCACCAAACCTTGGAAGTCGGGCGCGGGCCTCCTACAGGAGCAGCATTCGTAGACAGTCCCAAAGAATATTGTCAGCCTCGAACGTATCCCTATCCTTGAGATTGACACGCCAAAAGGCGATGACAATCTTAGGGATTCGCCCTCAAGAGATAAGGGAATCCCTAAGATTGACACGCCAAAAGGCGATGACAATCTTAGGGATTCGCCCTCCAAAAAATAGGGAATCCCTAAGATTGGCATCGTGATGAGGAGGTGCCCAGCATAGGAATAGGGATCTGTTCCAGGCTGGTAAAGAATAGTCTCTGGACGAGGCTTTTCCACCACCCGCCGAACCTGGGACGCCCGAAGTGGGGACGGAACAAAAAGGGCACACTGCCCAACAGCAGTTCCTGTTCATTTCGAACAGGACTCGCTGTCGGTGTCGCCGCGGCCTGTGTCCATTTGAGACAGCCCAGAAGCGGCCGCTGTTGGTTTGGGAGAACACTTGTCGTTTGGCATTGTACCGATTTTTTCCGTACCCACTCCGGGCGTCCAAACAAACCACTCCAACCCAACCCGAAGGACCCGATTTGCCCTCCATTTCCAGGGGGGGGCGGGGAACATCGAAAAAACACATCTGAAGCCCGTACCCCCCCAACCCGAATTTCGGGTCTTCGGGTTGGGTTGGTCGGGTTGGGTTGGGGTGGTCTGGTAGGTAGTCCGTTTTGACTATTGTTGACTATGCTTGGTGCATATCTGTTTAGCTATCTCTCATCTGTCGTCCAAGGTCCGCCTGCAGGGGGACACGCCCGACCTAAGCCTACACTGAAGTCCGCATGTCCCTACACAGGAGGGATATTGAGAAGTAGCAGGAACAATAGTCAGGGAATGCTTTTTGGATCAGTTTGAGATTATGGTCGAGCATTTGTTTGACTATTTTTAGTTGTTCTTCCAGCATCCGCCTGTAGGGGGACATGCCCGACCTGAGCACAGCGGCGCGCAGAAGAGGGGGGAGGGCCTACACTGCCCCAGAAGAAAAGTAAGTTGGGGGCCATCTTGGAAGCATCGTGGGCCGTCTTGGGCTGACGAACAGAACCTTCAAGCATTCAAAACCTAAGGCGCACCAATGACTTCGACCTCTTCGCGCCAAACTGGGGGTCCTGTTGGAGCCCTCTTGGGCCGTCTTGGGCGCCTCCTAGGCCGCATTGAGGCCATCTTGGCGGCCTTGATGGCTTGCCTCGGCCGTCTTGGAAGCCGTCTTGAGCGTCTTGGACGCCGTGGAGAGCCCCAGGGAAGCGTGATGCGTACTGCAACTTCACGGTGGAGTTGTTCGTTTTCGTTGCCACTTCTGTTTGTTTGTGTTTTTTGTCAGCGAGGACCGTTTTCGGGGCCCGAGGACTGTCAGGCACGGATCTCGGGATGAGGAAGGATCCCCAGGGCGGTCCCCCATACGATTCTTCGATTCGACCCGCATGAAGCGTGTTTCTGCAGGAGGGGGACAACAAAAACACAGACACAGTTAATCGCCGATTCCGAGGAGGAACATATGGGAAGCTAAGGGGAGTGGGGGGGAATACGGAAGCCAAGAAAACATATGAGCGGTTGCGGAATTTTTGGGTTTGCGTATATGTATGTGCGTGTCCTTGGGCCCCTTTTCAATCTTTTGTTTCCAGAATGGTGTAGGTGCCGAGAGGTCATGCTGCCAGCGTGCCAAGTCTCGCCGAGGCCATCCCCCCCCCCCGCCCCCAAGTTCGATGCCACTGCCTGGCTCACTCTCTTGCGGACGCCTTCCCCGCCGCCTCTGGCGCCAGCCTCGCCAGCAATTGCCCTATCCTATCGCTCGGGGCGCTTGGCATCGCTCGGACGTGTGCGTTTTTTCCTCGGCGAGGACCATCGAGGAGCATCCTTGACCATTTGGCGAACAAAAACGCGCACGACACCGACACATGCACGGGAAATGGACGTCCAAGCGATGGCGAGGGCGAGGATAGGGGGTAGCAGGTGGGGGATGGGAAGGAGTGAGAGGAGGGTTTCTCTCTCTCTCTCTCTCTCTCTCTCCCTCGCTCGCTCGCTCGCTCTCTCTCTCTCTCCCTCTCTGGCACCCTGGCTCTGCCTCTCACAGTGCCCCTCCGTCCCCGCTTGTGTGCCACCATCCATCGCTTTCCTTGCCTGCACCCCTGGTTCTTCCTGCCTCGTCCTCGTGCTACGGCTCGCCCTGCTCTTCCTTTTCTACGCCCTCCGCCCTGGGGCGGCTCGTAGCGACTCTGGGGACCTCTTGGAAGTAGAGCGCTAGGCATGACACAACCAGGGGGACCAGGTGCTGTATCCACGTGATTGGCCCTCTCGGAAGGGGCGTCTTGTTGACCCTTTTAGCCATCTCGGAGGCATATTTTTGGGCCCTCTGCGGCCGTCTTGAGCTGCTGAACGTTCGCTTCGGGGCCACGTGGGGCCGTCTCTAGAGGCCTCTTGGGCCCCTTCTAACTCATCGAAACTAACTCTTCTAACTCTTCGAGAGTTCTTAGATGTTCTGGGGGGCCGCGCTCCTCTCATTTCTCATTGTTCTATCCTGGGCCTCTTCCTGGCCACTAGGGGGCCAGGAACACTTAGAAACGAGCACACTTAGAAATTAACACGATTAGACATGAACGACGTGCAGGCATGATGGATATCTCGGAGCCGCCCTTGTGGGGTGGGCAGGGCTGTTTTTGACTGTGGAAGCAGGGGCGGGTTTGTGCAGCATCGATCGGGGTTTGGGCAAGGTCCAGACGTGGCAGACGGAGCTGGCTCTCAGGAATGAACGTTGGTCGGGGTGTCTCGATAATTCACCTTTCGCCTGCTCCAGCAGTCCTGGTCTTTTCTGCCCCCCCCTCTCTGGCCCCTCTTATGGGGTGCAACTCTTGGGAGCCGTAGCTCAACATCGACGCTGGCATACCCGTGGTCGGGAACAGGCCACCTGCCTGATCGGGCACACGCCCGCATAGTCGCGCTTCATCCCGCCTAATCCGATTCAGTCCCAGCTTCATCTGGCCTGATCCGGCTTAATTCGCAGAAGAAGAAGAATAAGAAGAAGAATAATAACAAAACAAACGCCATAAATATAAACTTTTGGCGCTCGGCGCTGATTTCTTGGATCTGCGCTGGGCCCCCCTCCCTGGTGCGCGGAACGCGCTAGGGGTGGCGCTGGAGGCGCCGCCGGGCGGGCCCAGCGCGGATCCAAGAAATCCGCGCGGAGCGCCAAAAGTTTATGCCAATGCAGTTCTCATTATTCTATGAATTGCTTTTTCATCGGGTGTTACAGCCCTGAGTCGTTCTCACGAAGGACCCCCCAGGGTCCAAGGAGTTGCCTCCTGAGCTCCCTTATCGGGCGCCGTCTCCGCTGCCATTCGAGCCCCTCTCCCCGGGCCATGCGCCCGCTGGCGGCCGCGGCCTGCGCATGACGGCCGCCAGGGGAGGGCCAAATCGGAGCCCCGGGAAGGAGGGAGGCAGGTCTGAAGAGGAGGAGGAGGAGGAGGAGGAGAAGGAGGAGGAGGAGGAGAAGGAGGAGGAGGAGGAGGAGGAGGAGGAGGACGAGCTGGAGGAGTTGGAGGAGAAGGAGGAGAATGAAGACGAGGAGGAGGAGGGAGGAGAGGAGGAGGGAGAGGAGGAGGAGAGGAACGAGGGAGGAGTTTTTTGGGGTTTGGGGGGGGGGGGCCAGGGAGGGGGGAAGCAGGGAGGAGGACGGAGAGGGAGGGAGGGAGAGTCGGGGGCAAAGAGGGAGGAAGGCAGGGCGAGGGGTGACGAGGCAGGACCTGTCAGAGGGGGGCGCGCAGGACGATGGCGGGGGAGGCGGACGAGGAGGCTGGAGTGGAGGAGGAGGAGGAGGAGGAGGAGGAGGAGGAGGAGGGGAGGAGGAGGAAGAGGAGGACTGTAGTGTATTGCTGATGCCCTTGAGGGTAGGCATAACCCTGTGAGGACGGATGGGGCTCTGGGGCTCACCCACCCTTGTTACCGTGCCCCCAGGTACAAGGACCGTGGTAGGCACACGGTATGAGAGGTAACATACCTTTCATCGGCAACCTCCGTTGTGAAGACCGTGGCTCGTCCTTACTCGGCTTGTGCGCCAGAGCAATCGGAGCGTATCAGCACACGCTGGAGCCTCCAGCGTGTGCTGATACACCCACCTCCAGCGGCTGGAGGTGAGTATGAATGAGGGGTGATGGATTCCACACCTCCTGACTGCATGGACGATGCGGCGGAGCGAGGCCGCCAAGGTAATGAGGCTCAGAGTATACAGCGCTGAATGTCAGTGCGTGCGCGTGCGGCGGGATGCAACAAGGGAGTAGGTGACTGATATAATAAGTGGACAACGTCAACCCACGCCACAATTGTGCTGCGTACCCCAACGGTTACACGACGCGACGCGACGGCAAGCTGAGAGGCAATGGTTACCTCACCTCCTGCCGGCATGGACGATGCGGCGGAGTGAAGACTCCAAGGTAATGAGACTCAGAGTAAACAGCGCTGTATGCCAGTGCGTGCGCGTGCGGCAGGGTGCAACAAGGGAGTAGGTGGCTGAGATAATATGTGGCCAACGTGTCCTCACGCCACCTCTGAGCTGCGAACCCCTACGGTTACACAACGCGACGCGACGGCAGGCAAGGGGATCGCGCGCCGAAGAATACGATTCGACCCGCGGCCGCATAACCATCTGAGAGGCGACGTTTTCCTCACCTCCTGCTGGCATGGACGATGCGGCGGAGTAAACAAGCTGGCCCAGAACGCATCCTGGGACCATACCTGCTGAGGCCGGCGCGCCTCACGTAGGCCCTCTGCCCAAGACTGGGAGGATACGAACTTCGAGAGTTTCGTATCGGGTGCGACCCCCAGAAGGCTCACGGCGAGGGGCATCTCCGACCTTCAAAACCCCTTCGGGTTTCGGGGACGATGAGCTTGGCGAGTCATTGAGGACGAGTCGGTTCCCCAGTTGTCCGTTTCCCTGGGGGGGTCCTCAGTTGTCCGTTTCCTTGTGCCCCGCATCATCGCCTCGGCGTGCGGTGGGGACAGCAGCGATTGACGACAACAAAGAGAGAGCATTTTACTAGCGGCGAGCTGTGTAGCAACAGTCCAGTGGCGTCAGCGAGGCAGACGGCGACGACAAAACTAGGCACAAGACAGCTGCAGTGGCGCTGCCTAGGCGCCTAACGCCTGCTCAATCGGAGGGCGAGAGGGGGGAAGTGAGTTACGGCTGAAGCAATGCCGATACGGGCGAATATTCTCCCAAGCACCGGGCAGGACCCCTCTTAGAGTTGGGGTGTTGCCGCCGGGAAAACCTCTGCCAAGAGTCCCTGGCGCCGTGCGAAGGAAACCTCAAATTACAATTGGATTTCAAGTTTCGGAGGTTCCCTGACTCAGAGTAAGCACCGCACCGGCTGCAAATGAATACCACCCCAAGTGCATAATTGGAAACGTGCAGAATGTGTTTCCGAGGATTTGGCACCAGCTGGGTGAAAGCTTCATTGTGGCCTCTGCGCGGGCTCACTGTCGGTGCCGGCTTGTTGACTCCTCTGGAAAATGTCAAGCATATGCGGCAGACCCATCTGCTGTGCTTCCAAGCCCAATCGTGCTCTCTGATCGGGCCTGGAGGGCGGCGACCTGGCCGAGGATGAAGGCCAGGAGGGGGAGGTGGGGGCGGAGGTGGGGCTGGGTCTGGCAGCACTTGCCGCGCCGCACCTACCCCTGTGATGAAGCCTTCCTCGCGGAGCGATTTGTCGAAAACCGACCGCATGGCTTTAGAAGGAGCTATTTTTGGAAATAGCAGCAACGCCTGCGCAGCATAAAGCAAATAACGCCTCAGGGTCTCCGACTCTTCCTTCCAGCTTTCCTCCTCAGCCTCTGACGGCTGAGGAAGTGACAGTGCGCCTTTCTTGGCGTACCTGTCAGCCAACTCATTGCCTACTGCTTTGTGCCAGTCAGGCGAAAGCTGCGGGAGCGACGCAGGGTCGACATGCGCGGGCACCTTCACAATGCGAAAGTCTTCATCCCAAAATGGGGACCCGCGTATCTGGATAATGAGGCCTGCGTAAAAGTGCTGACGCGATGCAACCCTAGACCAAGGTGCTCCCGCCATCTTGACTAGGCCTAGGAAGTCTGAGTGGATAAGAGACACCTGGGGGCAGTGCTGCATGACTGCCAAAACTGCTATATGCTCGGCTGCTGGCGATGTCTGTGGGTACGCCGCTCCCACGGCCCCCCAGAGAGCAGCGAACAATTCTCCAGTAGGCGTCACTTTCACGACCGACCATCCTGCTGAATGATACGTGCTAGGACCCTCCTTGAAACATGAGCCATCGGTGAAGACATCACCCGCGAAGGCTTGATGTATAGATGCCTCCGGGTCGGCGCGCCAGAACTGAAACGGGGTAGTACCTGAGCCTTGTGGCGGGGCCGCCACTGGGCCAGGGACCTCCATGAACCCGTGCGCTAGAGGAAAGTTGCGACAACGATCCGAGAGCAGGATCCTGTCCGCCTCAGTGAGCACTTGCTCCCTCAACTGGGCAGCGCAGGGGCAGTGGTGCAATCGGTGCGACAAGCAGTCGGAGGGGCCACCACATATGCATGTTGTCTGCACCTGGTATCCTGCTCTCTTGAGCTGGTGGCAAGACCACAGGGACTGACAGAGAAAGGAAAGTAATGTGCTTTGTTCATGGCGCTGGAGGCTGTGCTCACGCAGCAGCTGCCTGGCAACACTGAAATCCAGCATAGTGCCAGTTGGGAGCCCCATCTTGGCGGCGACGGTTGATGCGTGGCCATTTCTGCCATTCGTCGCGGAATTTAATTTCTATGTGCCGAGGCGAAAAGGCCGTGAGCGGCCATCTCTCTCCTGAAGGATCTTTCAAAATGAACGGGGTGGCGAAGGACCGCCCAATGCGCTGCAGAGATAAGATGGCCGCCGAAAATGGCCCCCGGACATCCGCCCATGCCGACGGGGGGCGGTCTAGGGTGGGCCCGGCGAGGGATTGCAGGGGGGAGAGCGGGTGAGGGTTGTGGTTAGAATTGTCGAAGCTGGACTTCCAAACAATCTTTGACCACAACAGGGCAGGGGCAAGTCCCTGCCTCCATGTCGGGTCCTCGTGAAGAGCCAGCGGGGCAGACCTCGAGCGCGTCTCCCCTCTGGCACCGACTAGCTCGAGGAAGAATGATTGGACTTCCCCCAGCTCCGTTCGGTCGAGTCCTGTGACCCCAGCGCCGTATAAGCCGAATTGGTCCAGACCTGTTGTAAAGAGTTTGCGCATATCTGTGCCTGCCGCTTTGACGGCAGACAGACGGCGTCTCCTAGCCTTGAGTTTGCCGATCCGTTCCCTAAGAACAGGGCGGCTGCTCCGGAGTTTACGTAAGTTACCGGGCGCAAAATCTATACCTAAGTTGCGGCCTGAAGATGCGACCGCGCCAGCGTGCCGACCAGGGGCCCTCGCCAGCTTGCTCCGCAAGCCGGCAGAGTTGGCAATCGTGATCGATTTGGCCGCGGCAACATTGCAGTGCAGGTCACGCGTGATCACATCGAGGAGGTCTGCAGCCCCTCGGACTAACAGGTTGACCACCTCGTCTGGATCTGCTCGGGTGAGGCCCGAGAGCAGGTCGTCGATAAAAAATGAAAATGCAAGCTCCTCATTCCTGCTGGACCATTCCTCGAATGGCTCTAGTGTGTACACTTGCACATTAAATGATATTATGCAGGACTGTCGGCCTAGCCGCCAGACTGTGTCCTTGAGGCAAATGCCTCGCGACATGCTTGCAAAGTTACACTGTGGATGCACGAAAGCTGCAAATGAAGCTGGCCAACCTCTGATAGGAGATAACCATGGTAGCAGAGTGCGATCGTGCAGGACTGCCGGCCTTGCCGCCAGGCTGTGTCCTTGAGGCGAATGCCTCGCGACGTGCGTTCATAATCTGTAGACGCACGAAAGCTGGCCTTGACACTGGCCATCGTCGACTAGAAGACAACCCATGGTAGCCGCAAAGCGTGAGACTGTGCAGGACTGCCGGCCTTGCCGCTGGGATGTGTCCTTGAGGCCACTGCCTCGCGACATACTTGCATTATCTGCGATTGCGCGAAAACTGGCAATGACGTTGGTAGGAGTCAGCCATGCAAGCCGGACAACATGGGGTCATGCAGGACTGCCGGCGTTGCCGCCGGGCTGTGTCCTTGAGGCGAATGCCTCGCGACATGCTTAGATAAACTCTGGATGCACGTAAGCTGAAACTGAAACTGGTCGACGTCTGATAGGAGGAACCATGGCAGCAGAGTGCAAATGTGCAGGACTGCCGGCCTTGACGCCGGGCTGTGTCCTTGAGGCGAATGCCTCGCGACGTGCGTTCATAATCTGTGGACGCACGAAAGCTGGCCCTGACTCTGGCCATCGACGAATAGGAGACAAGCCAAGGTAACCACAAAGAGTGAGA